GTGATAGGTATTTTTGATGGTTAAAAACCTTTCACTTAGGTAACCGGGATTCGGTCGTTTCCACGCTAGGCTGACAAAAACACACACAAGCTTCGTTCATGTTCCCAAACGATTCTCTGCCAAGTCCCTGGTTTTCACCCGAGACAGCATTAAATCACTCTTTATTTCTTGTCACTCCTTAACCAATTACAATCAGTATAAGGGACTCCAAGGCCTTGCCTTCAAACAAACAACCAATCACATATAATACTTTATTGACATCATTCTGTTTGAAAAGAACATACAGTCTAGTGCTAAACTAATAATTAAAATTAAAAAAAAAAAAGGAAGAAATAAATATGTAGTTTAAATAAATACATATTTAAAATTATGAAATATTGATATATATATTTAAAATGCACCACATTCTCTAATATACTTCGCAAGTTCCTTATCTACATTGCTCATAATGTATATGAACTTGTCATCTGGTTTCATCAAATTAAAATATGGATGTATATAAGCAATTTTTCCAAACAGCTTACATCTTGCATTTTTATGACTTGGACAATCAATCAGGAAATGGAATTCATCCTCCACTGCATCCGTATCACACTTTTTGCATACCCTTTCTCCAAACTTTATTTTTGGTCTAACATGCCTACCCTTCTCTATCATTAGACCATGGTCACTTATCCTGAATTTACAGATACTTTTTTTATAGTGGGGGTCTTTAATAATTTGTGTTAAATACTGTTCCATTTTGAATTCATTTTTGAATTTACAATATGTTCTTAATTTATTATTTTCACCTGATGATGATTTTATTGAGGTTATTTGTTTTTTCCATAATTCAATATAATTCTTTTCTATTTGGCTACTTATTTCTTGTATATTTTTTTTACCTCTACTCCAAAATCCATTTATTTCACTTCCTATTATTTCCTGCACTGATTTTGCCCATTTTAGCTGATTATTAATATTGCATGTAATTGCATCATTTATTAGGATGTGTTTTTTGGTATTGAAAATATTATGCCAATATCTAATCATCATTTTATTTATAAAGACTGATATTGGTTGTCTGCCCAGTTCACCACGCACCGCTAAGTTTGTTGACGCCTGATTAACTTGTAGTAACATTTCAGACATTTTAAGGTTGAGCATTTCTGGGTAACTTCTGTGTATTTTTCTGAACCCCAAATCTCACATCCATAAGTCAGAATGGGTCGAATTACATGGTCAAACATGTTTCTCCAAGTTGGTATACTTATATGAGTTGATGTAGTAATTAATTTCTTAATATAGAAAAAAGTTTTCAATGCCTTTTTATATAATTTTTCATTTGCTAAATCAAAATTTCTACTAGGTTTAAATTCTATGCCTAAATATTTATAATTTCTAACTATATCTAATTCTTCATTTTTGTAATGAAAGATAAACTTATGGTTCAATAATTTTCCATATTTATTTTATACCATTATTTTTGTTTTTGTAATGTTTACTTCAAGGTTCCACTTACTGCAGTATTGAGATAATTTATTGAAACAGTTTTGTAAAGTTGAATCTGTTTCAGATATGAACACAAGGTCATCTGCATATAATAAACTACCAATTGATATATCATTTAGCTTAACAGGTTTACATGACTCATCTAACTCACTTGGCAAATCATTTAAGAATAAGTTAAAAAGCATTGGGCTGATGTTACATCCCTGTCTCACCCCTCTGAGTGATTTGAAATCATTTGTTAATCCATTGTTTAATTTTATGCTATACTTAACATCATTATACATGTTTTTAATTACATTATATATTTTTCCATTAATTTTATTTTTTAATAATTTGTAATAGAGCCCTTTACGCCATATGCTATCAAAAGCTTTTCTAAAATCCACAAATCCAACAAATACTTTGTTTAATTTAAACAAACCAAACAAATGGTAAATACCATTTGTTTGGTTTGTTTGATTGGTATTGATCTTATTATTTATATATTTATATATTTATCAATTATTGTTTTAAGAATGAACATGTTATCTGTTGTTTTATAACCTGGCCTGAAACCAGCCTGACATGGATTTAAAATGTTATTTTGCTCAACATGTATATGAAGTCTACAATTAATCACAGATGTAAATAGTTTTGACAAACAACTTGACAGTGCTATTCCTTTATAATTACTTGGATTATTAGGCTACTTCGCCAATTATCTGGAAATTTATCTGTATTTAAAATGATATTGAATAGTTTCTTGATAGGTGTATTTAATACTGTTTGTCCATAGATAATCATTTCATTTAATATTTTATCTTTGCCTGGTGATTTTTTCTTTTTCAGCTGTCTAATTGCCTTTGTAATTTCATCTGATGTAATTTCTTTATTTAACTTTACATTAATGTCTATATTTTCTAGATTCCTTATATCTGCATCCAATGATGAGTCCTTATTCAGATTTGAGAAATGTTTGATCCATGCAT